TGACCGAGTAAAATTAAATGTGATTATAAAAATGTGGAGATGCACATGGATATTGTACCTTATATATATATGATAATTTCAAGAGAACGTCAAATGTTTTATTTAGTTTACAACGGCGCGATAGTTATAAATCAAATATCGAAGAACTGATGAAACACTTACTTACTTTGATATGTGTCAAAGCAATTAAAGGCTGTCAACCAAGTACTAATTTCCCTTGACAACTTTTCTTTCTAACATATTTACAATGACCACCAGTATTCGGAATCTCTCTAGACTTTTCCTCTTAGTTTTTAGGCTTATTCGAATGGATTATCCGTGGCATTCAGGTTACGGCAAAAGTCGGTGATTAAAAATCTACAAGCAGTGGCTACCACCGGCATTCTCAAGGACTGTACAATAAACACAGGTGTGCCAGATAATACGACACATTAGAGCCAATGATGAATTAAACGTATAAATAAACATATATATATAACTATAAATTCTAACTTCCTCAATAGGTATTCCGGTTTTCTCGATGGCTATTGTTATAGAACATATTTTCCAATATTATTCTTTATATTGATATTTTGACAATTGAAATGGTTGAAATTTTCTTTAGTTTGCATTAAAATAAATTTTGATACGAAGAAAACATAATTATCTTTTGCATACTTTGATAATATTGCATACGTCTAAGTGTTACACTATGACTGTTTCTACAACTTAATTAATAAATTAATAATAAGTAAATTAAATTATTAACTGATAAACTAATAAATACCAGAAGAATTTTACTTGACAAATCTATAATAAGAAATTACCTGCGAAACATACGTGCAGGTACAAGAAACAAAGTTGATTTATCAACTAACACGAATGTAGATAAAGCGCCAGGTTAATAAAGTGTTATTTGGAGCCCAGTTAATAAATATAACAGAGGAAGTCAGTGGGCGAAAATGGCGGGGTTATCATTCACGGACTTAATTATAAACTGGTTATCAGTATCACGGACTTGTATATTTAAGTCCGTGTCAGTATCAAATAAACTATAATAATATTTATATCTTTTATTTTGGTTAAAATATTTTAAGCCATATGATATATTTAGTTACAAAGTCATTCATGTAGCTTTCATATGCCTTGAGATATGTCAGTTCAACTGTCAACATATTAAGGGATTCCACGAGATGATGTAGGTGGTCGTTTGGTCAGTGCTTAGATGGTTCCTCAAAGTGATGGATAAAGTTTTATTGGCGCTAATTACTAATTGTGATTTGACTTTCTATATGTATATAAATGTTTATATATTGCACACAGGTTTGATTCGTGTGTTTGTTGCCTGTGATAACTTTAGCTTGACCCTGTGTCACATCGTTATGGCCAAGCAGTCATGCCAGCTGCCTTTCTTGGACAAGAACTCCAAGTCCTATAAACATCAACAAATGTTAGTCATGTTGAACTCTATGTCATATAAACATCAATACGTGTTAGTCATGTTGAACTCTATGTCATATAAACATCAACACATGTTAGTCATGTTGAACTCTAAGTCATATAAACATCAACACGTGTTAGTCATGTTGAACTCTATGTCATATAAACATCAACACATGTTAGTCATGTTGAACTCTAAGTCATATAAACATCAACACGTGTTAGTCATGTTGAACTCTATGTCATATAAACATCAACACATGTTAGTCATGTTGAACTCTATGTCATATAAACATCAACACATGTTAGTCATGTTGACCCTATGTCATATAAACATCAATACGTGTTTGTCATGTTGAACCCTGTTTCATATAAACATAAACACATGTTAGTCATGTTGAACTCTATGTCATATAAACATCAACACATGTTAGTCATGTTGAACTCTATGTCATATAAACATCAACACATGTTAATCATGTTGAACCCTTTGTCATATTAACATCAACACATGTTAGCCATGTTGAAATCTAAGCCATATAAACATAAACACATGTTAGTCATGTTGAACCCTTTGTCATATAAACATCAACACGTGTTAGATATGTTGACCCTGTGTCATATACACATCAACACATGTTAGTCATGTTGAACCCTATGTCATATAAACATCAACACGTGTTAGTCATGTTGAACTCTATGTCATATAAACATCAACACATGTTAGTCATGTTGAACCCTTTGTCATATAAACATCAACACGTGTTAGATATGTTGACCCTGTGTCATATAAACATCAACATATGTTAGTCATGTTGACCCTATGTCATATAAACATCAACACGTGTTAGTCATGTTGAACTCTATGTCATATAAACATCAATACGTGTTAGTCATGTTGAATCCTGTGTCATATAGACTTAAACACATGTTAGTCATGTTGACCCTATGTCATATAAACATCAACACGTGTTAGATATGTTGAACTCTATGTCATATAAACATCAATACGTGTTAGTCATGTTGAACCCTTTGTCATATTAACATCAACACATGTTAGTCATGTTGAAATCTAAGCCATATAAGCATAAACACATGTTAGTCATGTTGAACTCTATGTCATATAAACATCAATACGTGTTAATCATGTTGAACTCTATAATGAATTCCAGTAACTGAATACAGTTTTGCATCAATAAGACAATCTTTGTCAAATAAAGTGACAGGAAATTTTTTATTAAAAATATGAATAATTTTTAATTTACAAAATTACACGTTCTCAACATACACTTGAGTCACACGAGATAAACAATCTTTTCTGTACTACAAAATTAAATCAGAAAACCTACATTATTTGCTGGACGAGGAATTTCTTATTACAATGTTGAACTCTTCAATAGCATAAATCCCTTTTATTTCCACAACAACCGATAATGAGAAACTGAGCAGAATTTTACTTTTATTCGGGTCAAAAACCTTTGTTCTACGTTCAAAACATGAAAATATCCAATGCTGAAATTGCGGGAGAAATAATTCTATAACATTGCCCCAAAAAGGTGCATCTTTGAACGACAAATGATGTCCAATCCTAGACCTGGTGAATAATTTAATTTTTATTCTCAACACAGTTATTATTATAAAGCAGTAATTAATCTTTAACTCGTACTAACAAAATGGACAAGTTTTGACCAACAAATTCCGCCCAGTTAATTTCGCAATATTCATATGTACAAAATATTGTAAATTAAATAGCAGATGTGTTGATGAGCTTATCGTAAATTGCTTTTAAATGCCACCAATGAAATATATCACAGCGAGAAAAAGAAAGAAAAACGTAATATGAATATATGAAGTAATATAGTTTTAATGATAACCTATTCAAAATCATAATTCAATATCACAAAGGTTAGTATAGCATACATGCAAAAACCTAATGCATCATATAAAATATTTTTCTTGATTAGAAATACTTAAAAAAATACTTCGGAACATTTCCTTCTGACTGATAATGTCTATATGTAATAATCTGATGAAAGTGAACGTGTAATCATCGGAACGTCACACACAGTCACACTCTAATCTTCTACTGGTTGTGTTATGAGATGAAGATGACCGTGTAATCATCGGAACGTCACACACAGTCACACTCTAATCTTCTACTGGTTGTGTTATGAGATGAAGATGACCGTGTAGTCATCGGAACGTCACACACAGTCACACTCTAATCTTCTACTGGTTGTGTTATGAGATGAAGATGAACGTGTAATCATCGGAACGTCACACACAGTCACACTCTAATCTTCTACTGGTTGTGTTATGAGATGAAGATGACCGTGTAGTCATCGGAACGTCACACACAGTCACACTCTAATCTTCTACTGGTTGTGTTATGAGATGAAGATGACCGTGTAGTCATCGGAACGTCACACACAGTCACACTCTAATCTTCTACTGGTTGTGTTATGAGATGAAGATGACCGTGTAGTCATCGGAACGTCACACACAGTCACACTCTAATCTTCTACTGGTTGTGTTATGAGATGAAGATGACCGTGTAGTCATCGGAACGTCACACACAGTCACACTCTAATCTTCTACTGGTTGTGTTATGAGATGAAGATGACCGTGTAGTCATCGGAACGTCACACACAGTCACACTCTAATCTTCTACTGGTTGTGTTATGAGATGAAGATGACCGTGTAGTCATCGGAACGTCACACACAGTCACACTCTAATCTTCTACTGGTTGTGTTATGAGATGAAGATGACGGTGTAGTCATCGGAACGTCACACACAGTCACACTCTAATCTTCTACTGGTTGTGTTATGAGATGAAGATGACCGTGTAGTCATCGGAATGTCACACTCTAATTTTCTACTGGTTGTGTTATAAGAACATTCTATCAATTCACGGAAATTTTCCAAATTTGCAAAGAAAAACGTGGGTTTATTTTTGTATACATATTCTTTTTAATTTCAATAACAACGATTAATGAATCAACTGTGTAAAAAAAAAAACAAAAAAAAAAACAAAAAAAAAACATATCTATTATTCTGTTTTAACTAGTCAGGTATCACCTCTGGCGAATAAAAGGCCAGTCATAAACCAGTCTGACGCATTTCCATTGTAACGTACTTTTGTGTTCCGACCGACAAACGAGACAAGAATATAAATGTTTGAGAATGTGATATGGTATTATTTAACTGAATCATAAACTTAAAGTATATCATAATATGTTAAATCCATTACCAAATAGAATTATGAAATCAGCATATGATTCTTAAAGTTTTGACTCTGAGTTGTAAAACTCGTCATAAAACTGATATTCATATAACAACCAGCATGTTCTTTAAAACTTACATGGAACTGTCGTATATGTCTTTCAAAAACAACTCAACTTAGTTTCAATAAACAGTGCTCTATAAATCTATGTCGCACGCTTCTACTTTTGTAGTAATTACTGACACTGAGCCTCGTTTTTCAATGGATATATCATGACTAGAGGTCATACAGCAAGGTCATATAACTGTCTATTTATAAATTTTCCCTTATATGGACATGATTGATTCAAATGGTTGTCATTGATTATCAGCATTGAAAAAGTAACGGCAAATTTATTTACCGAACACTTTAATGAGATGATCAAACAAACGGTTGTCTGCTGGAAATCCAAGCTTTGACCTTGTTTCTTTCCTTTCTTTTGCCAAGTCTAAAACAGATTTTCCATCCTCGTCAAGTATGGTTGTGATGTCATATTTACCTCCTGTTGATTCTAAGTATTGTTTTATGTGAGTCTCACACTCAATGAATGTGTCTACATCTGCCCAATATGACTCAGCTACTTGATGTAGACAATGACGGCCACGGTTATCTACAGCAGTGGTCAGTGATGGGAAGTTCTTGCATAAATGTACACAAATGGCACTTTTTGTAGTCACATGTAATACAGTTTGTCCTTTATTATCGACAGTTGAGGTTAGTGATGGGAAGTTCTCACATAAATATAAGCAAATCTCCTTGTATCCCCTCTCACAACTCCAATGTAACACAGTCCGTCCCCCATTATCGACAGCTGTGATCAGTGATGGAAAGTATTCACATAAATATACACAGATTTCCCTGTGTCCTTGCAAACAACTAACATGTAACACAGTCCACCCATCATTATCCACTAACTGAGAAATGTGCTGAGCACACACACAATTCCTGTGTACAATACGTCCGTCTATCGTCTCACACTTGTGTTGTTGATGTTTATACAAGGTTTCAAGTATAGTTCTCTCCACTATCTGGAATATAGAAATGCTTCCTTTCGCTGCTGCAACATGGAGTGGAGTTTGTCCACCATCATCAGTGTCATGTACCAAGTATGGATATCTATCACACAACTCAGTCACCATTTCTTCTTTTCCCGTCAGACACGCCTTATGCAAGACGTTGTGATTGTACTCAAACTTCTCTGTTGGATTGACGTCATACAGCAGTAAGTTATGTAACAATTCCACGTTTCCTCCCCACGCCACATACATCAGTATGTCATTTGCAGGTTTCACTCCCTCACTCAGAAGATATAAACCACATTCTTCCGAACCAGATTCACATGCTTTATTCAACAATTCAATCTTTATCTCATCATTCAGGTATCCAGCAACTTTCTTAAGTACATCAACATCTCCCTTACCAACACCATACGTACTTCCTGTAATCAATGACCATAATGGTGTGTCCTCGTCAGGTTTGACTCCCTCATTCAGAAGATCTATAACACATTCTTTTACACAATAACGACATGCTTTATTTAACACAGCAAGCTTATCAACTTTTCTCTCATTTAACAACCTGAAAAATCGTACAACAAATACAGAATCTTTCCATACATCTAGAGAGCCAATCATAATATCATAAAGAGACTCTTTACACTCAAACTCTCGGAGTAGACGTTCACACAGACATGCGTAATGATCAGATGATATGACAATCATGTTTGAAGACGTTTTTGAGATGGTAAGATAACTGAGGAATTTTGAGGGACAATTCTGTATATAGCCACATGTTGTTTTCTCCCCATACAAAAGAGCCACTGTGACATGTACAGAATCATGATTAAATCTGTATTCTTCATCATGAAAGCACGTTGGTTTATCCTTCACCACTAAAAAATCTAACAATCTGTCTAAACTTTCTTTAACAAATCCTACCTTTTTCTTGTAAGTCAATGAGGATTTGTCCTCCTCACCATCAATCAAATTAATATCAAATGATTCCTCTAACAATGTTTTGTTGATTTTATCACTGTTTGGATCTAAATCTTTCACTTTTATCTTCCCTTCATTGAGGAAGAGAAACAAAATGGCAGAACATTCTGGTAATCTTGACAATGCTTTGATAAAAAATTCATAAGGTTTCTCAAAAAATTTGGCACGTTTCTCCTGCAATTTCACAGACTTATAGAAAAGCTGACAGCATTGAGGAAACCCGATGCCCGAAGCACATGTCAAAATGCTCTCTATTTCCTTCTCTGTCCAGGAAATATTGTCTGGTTTATACATATTTAGAAGTTCTTTTCTTTCCTCTGATATTTGATATTTAACAGAACTGAAATCAATGGTGTTATCTTTGGTGAACACTGGTTCGAAGGACCGCTTTCCTAAAACATTAAATATTTCATTACGAATAGTAACAAGCAAAAAATTGGGATTGCTTTGATCATCAATAAAAAGTGTTTTTACATCGGTGATTCTTTTGTTCCATTCTTGTACGTCAATACTACCTACATTTTTCTCCCCAAACATATCATCAATAAAAGTAACCAGATTCGAGTTTGGAGACAATAAATCTAATTTCTTAATTTTATGAAGTTGAAGAGGTTGTCTGCATTGCTGCTCCTTGATCAGCCAGTCCATGAGTTGAATGGAAGTTGAAGTCTTGCCGTCTCCAGTATTACCCTTGATTATTATGACTCTTTTCTTTCTGAGTTTGTCTTGAGCATCATGAAATGCTTTGGTCTCCAAAAACTGTTTCTCCCTTTTTTCCGTTTTGATCCTCTCTTTAGCTTTAGCTGTAAAGAAAGATATTAAAATCTATAGCAGTGATTTATTGCCCATTTTTCCATTATAAGATATGTGAAGTATGTACTGATTTATTGCCCACACTTTTCCATAGTTAGAAGTGTGAAGTATGTACTGCTTTATTGCCTACACTTTTCCATGGTTAGAAGTGTGAAGTATACAGTGATTTATTGACCACACTTTTCCATTGTTAGAAGTGTGAAGTATACAGTGATTTATTGCCCACACTTTTCCATGGTTAGAAGTATGAAGTATACAATGATTTATTGCCCACACATTTCCATTGTGAGACAGTGACGTATACAGTGGTTTATTGCCCACACTTTTCCATTGTGAGACAGTGAAGTATACAGTGATTTATTGATTTTCTATTGTGAGACAGTGAAGTATACAGACCACACTTTTCCATTGTGAGACAGTGACGTGAGACAGTGAAGTATACAGTGGTTTATTGCCCACACTTTTCCATTGTGAGAAGTGTGAAGTATACAATGATTTAATACACAACACTTTTTCTATTGTGAGAAGTGTGAAGTAAAGAGTGGTTTATTGCCCACACTTTTCCATTGTGAGACAGTGAAGTATACAGTGATTTATTGCCCACACTTTTCCATTGTTAGAAGTGTGAAGTATACAATGATTTATTGCCCACACATTTCCATTGTGAGACAGTGACGTATACAATGATTTATTGCCCACACTTTTCCATTGTTAGAAGTGTGAAGTATACAATGATTTATTGCCCACACATTTCCATTGTGAGACAGTGAAGTATACAATGACACACTTTTCTATTGTTAGAAGTGTGAAGTATACAGTGATTTATTGTCCACACTTTTCTATTGTGAGACAGTGTGTAGTTTACAGTGTTTTATTGACCACACTTTTCCATTGTTAGAAGTGTGAAGTATACAATGGTTTATTGCCCACACTTTTCCATTGTGAGACAGTGAAGTATACAGTGATTTATTGCCCACACTTTTCCATTATTAGAAGTGTGAAGTATACAGTGATTTATTGTCACACTTTTCTATTGTTAGAAGTGTGAAGTATACAGTGGTTTATTGCCATTGTTAGAAGTGTGAAGTATACAGTGATTTATTGACCACACTTTTCCATGGTTAGAAGTGTGAAGTATACAATGATTTATTGACCACACTTTTCCATTGTTAGAAGTGTGAAGTATACAATGATTTATTGCCCACACATTTCCATTGTGAGACAGTGACGTATACAGTGACTTATTGACCACACTTTTCTATTGTCAGAAGTGTGAAGTATACAATAATTTATTCCCCACACTTTCCCATTGTGAGAAGTGTGAAGTATACAATGATTTATTGCCACACTTTTCTATTGTTAGAAGTGTGACAGTGAAGTGAAGTATACAGTGATTTATTGCCCACACTTTTCCATTGTTAGAAGTGTGAAGTATACAGTGATTTATTGACCACACTTTTCCATTGTTGGAAGTGTGAAGTATACAGTGGTTTATTGACCACACTTTTCCATTGTTAGAAGTGTGAAGTATACAGTGATTTATTGACCACACTTTTCCATTGTTAGAAGTGTGAAGTATACAGTGATTTATTTTCCCACACTTTTCTATTGTTAGAAGTGTGAAGTATACAGTGATTTTCCATTGTTAGAAGTGTGAAGTATACACACACTTTTCCATTGTTAGAAGTGTGAAGTATACAGTGATTTATTGCCCACACTTTTCCATTGTTAGAAGTGTGAAATCCAAGCTTTGACACACTGAAGTATACAGTGATTTATTTTTTCCATTGTTAGAAGTGTGAAGTATACAGTGATTTATTGTCCACACTTTTCTATTGTTAGAAGTGTGAAGTATATAGTGATTTATTGCCCACACTTTTCCATTGTTAGAAGTGTGAAGTATACAGTGATTTATTGACCACACTTTTCCATTGTTAGAAGTGTGAAGTATACAGTGATTTATTGACCACACTTTTCCATTGTTAGAAGTGTGAAGTATACAGTGATTTATTGACCACTTTTCTACACTTTTCCACACTTTTCTATTGTTAGAAGTGTGAAGTATACAGTGATTTATTGACCACACTTTTCCATTGTTAGAAGTGAAGTATACAGTGATTTAGTTTTCTATTGTTAGAAGTGTGATTTTCCATTGTTAGAAGTGTGAAGTATACAGTGATTTATTGACCACACTTTTCTATTGTTAGAAGTGTGAAGTATATAGTGATTTATTGCCCACACTTTTCCATTGTTAGAAGTGTGAAGTATACAGTGATTTATTGCCCACACTTTTCTATTGTTAGAAGTGTGAAGTATACAGTGATTTATTGCCCACACTTTTCCATTGTTAGAAGTGTGAAGTATACAGTGATTTATTGACCACACTTTTCTATTGTTAGAAGTGTGAAGTATACAGTGATTTATTGACCACACTTTTCCATTGTGAGACAGTGAAGTATACAGTGATTTATGAGACTTTTCTATTGTGAAGTATACAATGGTTTATTGCCCACACTTTTCCATTGTGAGACAGTGAAGTATACAGTGGTTTATTGACCACACTTTTCCATTGTTAGAAGTGTGAAGTATACAGTGATTTATTGCCCACACTTTTCCATTATTAGAAGTGTGAAGTATACAGTGATTTATTGCCCACACATTTCCATTGTTAGAAGTGTGAAAGTATACAGTGATTTATTGCCCACACTTTTCCATTGTCAGACTGTGAAGTATACAGGGATTTATTGTCCACACTTTTCTATTGTGAAGTATACAGTGATTTATTGACCACACTTTTCCATTGTTAGAAGTGTGAAGTATACAGTGATTTATTGCCCACACTTTTCCATTGTTAGAAGTGTGAAGTATACAGTGATTTATTGCCCACACATTTCCATTGTGAGACAGTGAAGTATACAGTGATTTATTGTCACACTTTTCTATTGTTAGAAGTGTGAAGTATACAGTGGTTTATTGCCCACACTTTTCCATTGTGAGAGAGTGAAGTATACAGTGATTTATTGTCCACACTTTTCTATTGTGAGACAGTGAAGTATACAATGGTTTATTGCCCACACTTTTCCATATTGTTAGAAGTGAAGTGTGAAGTATACAGTGGTTTATTGCCCACACTTTTCCATTGTGAGAGAGTGAAGTATACAGTGATTTATTGTCCACACTTTTCTATTGTGAGAAGTATATACAGTGATTTATTGCCCACACTTTTCCATTGTTGTGAAGTATACAGTGATTTATTGACACTTTTCTATTGTTAGAAGTGTGAAGTATACAGTGTTTTATTGCCCACACTTTTCTATTGTTAGAAGTGTGAAGTATACAGTGATTTATTGCCCACACTTTTCCATTGTTAGAAGTGTGAAGCATAAGTATACAGTGATTTATTGTCAACACTTTTCCATTGTTAGAAGTGTGAAGTATACAGTGATTTATTGCCCACACTTTTCCATTGTTAGAAGTGTGAAGTATACAGTGGTTTATTGCCCACACTTTTCCATTGTTAGAAGTGTGAAGCATACAGTGATTTATTGACCACACTTTTCTATTGTGAGACAGTGAAGTATACAGTGGTTTATTGCCCACACTTTTCCATTGTTAGAAGTGTGAAGTATACAGTGATTTATTGCCCACACTTTTCTATTGTTAGAAGTGTGAAGTATACAGTGATTTATTGCCCACACTTTTCCATTGTTAGAAGTGTGAAGTATACAGTGATTTATTGACCACACTTTTCTATTGTGAGACAGTGAAGTATACAATGGTTTATTGTCCACACGTTTCCATTGTTAGAAGTGTGAAGTATACAGTGATTTATTGCCCACACTTTTCTATTGTTAGAAGTGTGAAGTATACAGTGATTTATTGCCCACACTTTTTCATTGTTAGAAGTGTGAAGTATACAGTGATTTATTGCCCACACTTTTCCATTGTTAGAAGAGTGAAGTATACAATGATTTATTGACCACACTTTTCCATTGTTAGAAGTGTGAAGTGATTTATTGACCACACTTTTCTATTGTTAGAAGTGTTAGAAGTGTGAAGTATACAGTGATTTATTGCCCACACTTTTCCATTGTTAGAAGTGTGAAGTATACAGTGATTTATTGACCACACTTTTCTATTGTGAGACAGTGAAGTATACAGTGGTTTATTGACCACACTTTTCCATTGTTAGAAGTGTGAAGTATACAGTGATTTATTGCCCACACTTTTCCATTGTTAGAAGTGTGAAGTATACAGTGATTTATTGCCCACACTTTTCCATTGTTAGAAGTGTGAAGTATACAGTGATTTATTGCCCACACTTTTCCATTGTTAGAAGTGTGAAGTATACAGTGATTTATTGCCCACACTTTTCCATTGTTAGAAGTGTGAAGTATACAGTGATTTATTGTCCACACTTTTCTATTGTGAGACAGTGAAGTATACAGTGATTTATTGCCCACACTTTTCTATTGTTAGAAGTGTGAAGTATACAGTGATTTACTGCCCACACTTTTCTATGCCCACACTTTTCCATTGTTAGAAGTGTGAAGTATACAGTGGTTTATTGCCCACACTTTTCCATTGTTAGAAGTGTGAAGTATACAGTGGTTTATTGCCCACACTTTTCCATTGTTAGAAGTGTGAAGTATACAGTGATTCATTGCCCACACTTTTCTATTGTTAGAAGTGTGAAGTATACAGTGATTTATTGCCCAAGTATATTGTGAGTGATACAATGGTTTATTGCCCACACTTTTCCATTGTTAGAAGTGTGAAGTATACAGTGATTTATTGCCCACACTTTTCTATTGTTAGAAGTGTGAAGTATACAGTGATTTATTGCCCACACTTTTCTATTGTGAGACAGTGAAGTATACAATGGTTTATTGTCCACACTTTTCCATTGTTAGAAGTGTGAAGTATACAGTGATTTATTGCCCACACTTTTCTATTTTTAGAAGTGTGAAGTATACAGTGATTTATTGCCCACACTTTTCCATTGTTAGAAGTGTGAAGTATACAGTGATTTATTGCCCACACTTTTCTATTGTGAGACAGTGAAGTATACAGTGATTTATTGTCCACACTTTTCCATTGTTAGAAGTGTGAAGTATACAGTGATTTATTGCCCACACTTTTCTATTGTGAGACAGTGAAGTATACAGTGGTTTATTGCCCACACTTTTCCATTGTGAGACAGTGAAGTATACAGTGATTTATTGACCACACTTTTCTGTTGTGAGACAGTGAAGTATACAATGGTTTATTGCCCACACTTTTCCATTGTGAGACAGTGAAGTATACAGTGGTTTATTGACCACACTTTTCCATTGAAGTATACAGTGATTTATTGACACTTTTCCATTGTGTGAAGTATACAGTGATTTTTTCCATTGTTAGAAGTGTGAAGTATACAGTGATTTATTGCCCACACTTTTCCATTGTTAGAAGTGTGAAGTATACAGTGGTTTATTGCCCACACTTTTCCATTGTTAGAAGTGTGAAGCATACAGTGATTTATTGTCCACACTTTTCTATTGTGAGACAGTGAAGTATACAGTGGTTTATTGCCCACACTTTTCCATTGTTAGAAGTGTGAAGTTAGAAGTGTGAAGTATACAGTGATTTATTGCCCACACTTTTCTATTGTGAGACAGTGACGTATACAGTGGTTTATTAACCACACATTTCCATTGTTAGAAGTGTGAAGTATACAGTGATTTATTAACCACACTTTTCTATTGTGAGATACAGTGTTTATTGACACTTTTCCATTGTTAGAAGTGTGAAGTATACAGTGGTTTATTGCCCACACTTTTCTATTGTTAGAAGTGTGAAGTATATAGTGATTTATTGCCCACACTTTTCCATTGTTAGAAGTGTGAAGTATACAGTGATTTATTGCCCACACTTTTTCATTGTTAGAAGTGTGAAGTATACAGTGGTTTATTGCCCACACTTTTCCATTGTTAGAAGTGTGAAGTATACAGTGGTTTATTGCCCACACTTTTCCATTGTTAGAAGTGTGAAGTATACAGTGATTTATTGACCACACTTTTCTATTGTGAGACAGTGAAGTATACAGTGATTTATTGACCACACTTTTCTATTGTGAGACAGTGAAGTATACAGTGATTTATTGTCCACACTTTTCTATTGTTAGAAGTGTGAAGTATACAGTGATTTATTGCCCACACTTTTCCATTGTTAGAAGTGTGAAGTATACAGTGATTTATTGCCCACACTTTTCCATTGTGAGACAGTGAAGTATACAGTGGTTTATTGCCCACACTTTTCCATTGTGGGACAGTGAAGTATACAGTGGTTTATTGCCCACACTTTTCCATTGTTAGAAGTGTGAAGTACAGTGATTTATTAACCACACTTTTCCATTGTTAGAAGTGTGAAGTATACAGTGATTTATTGACCACACTTTTCTATTGTGAGACAGTGAAGTATACAGTGATTTATTGTCCACACTTTTCCATTGTTAGAAGTGTGAAGTATACAGTGATTTATTGCCCACACTTTTCTATTGTTAGAAGTGTGAAGTATACAGTGGTTTATTGCCCACACTTTTCCATTGTTAGAAGTGTGAAGTATACAGTGATTTATTGACCACACTTTTCCATTGTTAGAAGTGTGAAGTATACAGTGGTTTATTGCCCACACTTTTCCATTGTTAGAAGTGTGAAGCATACAGTGATTTATTGACCACACTTTTCTATTGTGAGACAGTGAAGTATACAGTGGTTTATTGCCCACACTTTTCTATTGTTAGAAGTGTGAAGTATACAGTGATTTATTGCCCACACTTTTCCATTGTTAGAAGTGTGAAGTATACAGTGGTTTATTGCCCACACTTTTCCATTGTGAGACAGTGAAGTATACAGTGATTTATTGACCACACTTTTCTATTGTGAGACAGTGAAGTATACAGTGATTTATTGTCCACACTTTTCCATTGTTAGAAGTGTGAAGTATACAGTGATTTATTGCCCACACTTTTCTATTGTTAGAAGTGTGAAGTATACAGTGGTTTATTGACCACACTTTTCTATTGTTAGAAGTGTGAAGTATACAGTGATTTATTGCCCACACTTTTCTATTGTTAGAAGTGTGAAGTATACAGTGGTTTATTGCCCACACTTTTCCATTGTTAGAAGTGTGAAGTATACAGTGATTTATTGCCCACACTTTTCCATTGTTAGAAGTGTGAAGTATACAGTGGTTTATTGACACTTTTCCATTGTTAGAAGTATACAGTGATTTATTGCCCACACTTTTCTATTGTTAGAAGTGTGAAGTATACAGTGATTTATTGCCACACTTTTCTTTCCATTGTTAGAAGTGTGAAGTATACAGTGATTTATTGACCACACTTTTCCATTGTTAGAAGTGTGAAGTATACAGTGATTTATTGCCCACACTTTTTCATTGTTAGAAGTGTGAAGTATACAGTGATTTATTGCCCACACTTTTCTATTGTGAGACAGTGAAGTATACAGTGGTTTATTGCCCACACTTTTCCATTGTTAGAAGTGTGAAGTATACAGTGGTTTATTGCCCACACTTTTCCATTGTTAGAAGTGTGAAGCATACAGTGATTTATTGACCACACTTTTCTATTGTGAGACAGTGAAGTATACAGTGGTTTATTGCCCACACTTTTCTATTGTTAGAAGTGTGAAGTATACAGTGGTTTATTGCCCACACTTTTCCATTGTTAGAAGTGTGAAGTATACAGTGATTTATTGCCCACACTTTTCCATTGTTAGAAGTGTGAAGTATACAGTGGTTTATTGCCCACACTTTTCCATTGTTAGAAGTGTGAAGTATACAGTGATTTATTGTCCACACTTTTCTATTGTGAGACAGTGAAGTATACAGTGGTTTATTGCCCACACTTTTCCATTGTTAGAAGTGTGAAGTATACAGTGATTTATTGACCACACTTTTCCATTGTTAGAAGTGTGAAGTATACAGTGATTTATTGCCCACACTTTTCTATTGTTAGAAGTGTGAAGTATACAGTGGTTTATTGCCCACACTTTTCCATTGTTAGAAGTGTGAAGTATACAGTGGTTTATTGCCCACACTTTTCTATTGTTAGAAGTGTGAAGTATACAGTGGTTTATTGCCCACACTTTTCCATTGTTAGAAGTGTGAAGTATACAGTGGTTTATTGCCCACACTTTTCCATTGTTAGAAGTGTGAAGCATACAGTGATTTATTGACCACACTTTTCTATTGTGAGACAGTGAAGTATACAGTGGTTTATTGCCCACACTTTTCTATTGTTAGAAGTGTGAAGTATACAGTGGTTTATTGCCCACACTTTTCCATTGTTAGAAGTGTGAAGTATACAGTGGTTTATTGACCACACTTTTCCATTGTTAGAAGTGTGAAGTATACAGTGATTTATTGCCCACACTTTTCCATTGTTAGAAGTGTGAAGTATACAGTGATTTATTGTCACACTTTTCTATTGTTAGAAGTGTATACAAGCCCACACTTTTCTATTGTTAGAAGTGTGAAGTATACAGTGGTTTATTGCCCACACTTTTCCATTGTGAGAGAGTGAAGTATACAGTGATTTATTGTCCACACTTTTCTATTGTGAGACAGTGAAGTATACAGTGGTTTATTGTCCACACTTTTCTATTGTTAGAAGTGTGAAGTATACAGTGATTTATTGTCCACACTTTTCCATTGTTAGAAGTGTGAAGTATACAGTGATTTATTGACCACACTTTTCCATTGTTAGAAGTGTGAAGTATACAATGATTTATTGACCACACTTTTTGTGAGAGATAGGAAGTAGACAGTAAGATTATCACGGACCCGTGTTTACCATGTTCTTCAATGTGACGATTCTAACTGACCAGTAGTACTTTATGTGTTCGAAAGTGTTCGACACCGAATTGTTGTATGTGTTGAATGTATCTGAATTGATTTGTCGAATATGAAAATGGCCGGTCATCTAAGACAATGGCTGATTCAACGATGCCTTTTCCGAACCTTCCTGATCCTTGAAGTAACTATATTGGAAGAACAAATTATTTTCTACGCAAACCGTATTTGTTCAAAAACACTGAAATGTTTATCAAATTATAGCTGTATTGAAACTGACCATTGTGTTATCATGACTGTACATACTGCACTTAAACAAAAATAGAGATCATGTGGTATTATAAATATCGTTAATGGGAGAATGGAGACAATTTACCACTGAACTTAAATTAGTGCAATGACTTGAGCCCAAAAGACATTGATATCTCAATAACCTGAATTAAAACACTCACAATAACCGATATATTTTTGTGGAATTTCTAGATACAGTAAACTTGCATTAGATTGAGACCAATTGAACACATTATAAGATCCTACGGACACCGTACTACATTTGATAGGCACAGAGAAAGAATTTGAGATTAGTTATAATGGGTCAAATGATGACGTTTCTGTTGTGAATTTAGTAAGAGAAGCTTAGTGTTCAAATTAAGTTGTTCCCTTTCATTTATTGATGATGCAAGTTGTTCAGATCTGGTTCTAAGGCATCTGCTTTATTTTCTCACAGCACGCCCAGTCAAGATGATGAAACTCACCTATCAAGGGTCTTAAGTCAGCATGGATTTCTGTAAAATAAAGATTCATATATTTAGCACAACGTATTTTTTTGGAATTTAAAACAGATGATTATTCTTCTGAGGTTTTAGACTAATAATATCCCGCAGACAGCGCCTTGTGACCTTTCCATTCATAAAGATTTTACAATATCTTGTCCTGGAGATATTTTTTAATATGACTTTAAGATTTCACCTTCAAGATCTCAGGGTGAGGTCCACAACATTTTGTTTTTACCGTCTAACTGTTATCGGAAGACAATATATATAATTAAAAACAAAATTGAATTAGATATGCATATCTCACAAAACAAAAGCATACACCCGCTTCCTTGAGGGTTCTGTGGGATATGTGAAGTAGTTCAATTTTGCGATTTTTCGATCGCCTTTGCTTATGAAACCCTTATGCAAAATTTTAATGAAACTACCGCAACAGTTATCAAAAGGAAGTCAGAAATAGAAAAATTTATCGGACGACGGACAGATAAAAACGAACAGCTGACATGAAAATATAAGAATTATGGAAAGGAAAAACCCTGGTTAAATAGGACAGATGACTGATATTTATATATAAATAGAATTGTGTTTGCAGTCAAATCAGTTATACGATTCATGATGTATACAGAATGTTTCATGAACATTCAAGAAGAAATCTGCATACAAAGTTGAAGAAATAACATTAACTGTGCTGTGACATAAGTATCCATGGAAACGAACCTGTAGATTGTTGTTGGTGTTGATCTGCCGGTTTAAGTTGTTTGGCTTTCGATGGACCAGCCCCACCTACAAATAAAACGATGTTGTCACTACATGATAGGATTTTTCTGTTCATCTGAAAATACCAAACCGTGACAAATGTTACAAATAATTGGATTTAACATCAATTGGATGTACGCCTTTGACGTTTGACTAGAAGAAAGACATAATTCAGTATAGAATAAATTCCAACACTTTCCTATACTTATACTTTATTCATAGTTGTACTTATAAACTTAAATAGGGCGATTGTCACTTTGGTTCTACTGTACCTAGTATCTAGCTCCTCTAAATTTGTATTAAAAGGTGTTATTCACGTGTTTGTCCTTATACATTCTTCGACGCTACAGGTGGTAGACACTGCTGGTAGACTTTTAAACCCGAGGTTTGTCGTAACCTGCATGCCACGTTTAATTCATTCTAATAGTGACAGAATATACACATGTCCTTGTCGTTGTTCCTATTATCAGAAATATGAAAAATTACGAAACCCATTCAACTGTGAGGCTAGTTCACCTCCCCATTCATTTTCTTATGTTTCTATCTATCATATCAAATTTCCCTCTTCCGCCTCCAAGGCTTCAATGATTAGGCCATTAAGCATCACTGCCGAGCTCTAGCAGGACAAAACAGATGTATTATGTAGTTTAATATATTGTTATCTTTACTTTGTCTAATTTCAAAGCTGTATTGAAAAGTAATGATAACTTGTTTGTCGTTGATACAACTTGTTCACGTTTTTGTTGCTAGGTATTTCTATTAAGTATAACTCTGGAAAAGTTTTGCATATGAATTATCAACACAAATAACAGATATCAAAAATTCCATATGGTGGACCACTTTCCCAGAATTTAAGGACCTGAAAACACAAATTTCAGTTTGTTCCGTGGAACATTTTCAGTCTTTAGTAACTATGCAGTTTAAGGCATGTCAAATCAAGTAAAAACCTAGCATTTTTGCATTTTTTTGATATCCAAGTTTCCAACCCTATCCTTGTAATGAAAGACGAACAATTATTTCAAAAATGGGTGGCGCCAAAATAACATAGAATGTCTGTTATTGGGGGAAAATAAGAATATTATATGAACATCAATTATTTGCTGTTACACATTTTTTTTTATTCTCCGAGCAGTACATCCTTAAATTTTTAGATGATCTGCAAGTATTGGTCAATTTACTTAGGACTATTGGTTGAATACATTTCTATTACCCAAAAGACAGCACGAATGAATAAGAAAAATATTGAAAATAAAGTATGAACAATACTGAAGACGGATGTGATAATATGAGCTAGTAATCATTACAAGTGTGATAAACAAGAGCGCATATAAACTTTGATAAATGTTACTGAATTGTCATTTCTCACCTTCATTTAGGATGCCTCTGATTATGTCTTCTTGTGCTTTCACATAATTAGCCAATCTAGGATTAACCATTCTTAATCTCGGTGTAAATTGTTCATAGTTTCCTACTGAAATCTTCTCATAGATAAGAAGATATTCAAATAGGTCGAACACAGTGTTAATTTTCCCGATCTGTCGCGGAGTTAGTGGCGTATCTCTGAACAGTTCCTTCAACTCTTTAATGTCGTAGTCGGTTAAATGTTGGTGGAGGTAGAACACCAATACGTTGTGGGCAGTTCTGGCTTCGTCGTTGTCTAATACTCTTCTAGATGCCATCATTTTTTTATTTCTGAAAAAGAAAACATATGATCACAAATCTTAGAAATCTTAAGAGACATTTACGGCCCAAGATGAAATGAAGTGTTACTTTTAGAATTACAGGAAGTATTTATTTCTAGTTACAACTATTTTAACAACTTGCATTTCTTTGGGTTCAGTAGTTTTTCTTCCTCAACGCCAATGAGTAAACCCGTAGTTCTGGATAATTTTGATAGAGTTACTAAGGAGTCAAACAAAACTTCTAGGTAATTTTGACAGAGTTACTCAGGAGTCAAACTATATTTCTGGATAAGTTTGACATATTTGTGTAGCACACAGGTCTCAAACACGTAGGTTTGTATAGATATAATATATTTGTACAGCCATTAATGATTGATAGATCTGATATACATATCCCATGTTGACAGAATTGTTGACTCTCAGACAGTGTAGAATAGATTCAGTGTGGCCATCGATTTGGAATGATTATCCTGATATAGCGCAGTATCTTTATAATGATTGCGATTAAATAGAACCTGGTGTAGTCTTGTTTGTCCATAAGCTTGTAATCGCCTTTCTAACTTTACCTTTTCTGTGACAATTAATTATTCATGAAGGACAAGTTTATAAATGACTCCCTTGTGCATTTTATCTCAATAATCGGCTGTCTATAGAATATTTATAGTATCTGGGATGTATCTGTAAATGTATTGGCTTGGGGATATGTTTACTTTGTGTATAATATACCTACTTTCTGTTTAATATGTTTACTTTCTGTATAATATGTCTTCTTCCTGTTTAATATGTTTACTTTCTGTATAATATGTCTACTTCCTGTATGATATGTCTACTTCCTATATAATATGTCTACTTCCTGTATGATATGTCTACTTCCTATATAATATGTCTACTTTCTGTATGATATGTTTACTTCCTGTACAGTATGTCTACTTTCTGTATAATACGTTTACTTCCTGTACAGTATGTCTACTTTCTGTATAATATGTTTACTTCCTGTACAGTATGTCTACTTTCTGTATAATATGTTTACTTCCTGTACAGTATGTCTACTTTCTGTATGATATGTCTACTTCCTATATAATATGTCTACTTCCTGTATGATATGTCTACTTCCTGTATAATATGTCTACTTCCTGTATAATATGTCTACTTTCTGTATAATATGTTTACTTCCTGTACAGTATGTCTACTTTCTGTATGATATGTCTACTTTCTGTATGATATGTTTACTTCCTGTACAGTATGTCTACTTCCTGTACAGTATGTCTACTTTCTGTATGATATGTCTACTTCCTGTACAGTATGTCTATTTTCTGTATAATATGTTTACTTCCTATATAATATGTTTACTTCCTGTACAGTATGTCTACTTTATGTATGATATGTCTACTTCCTGTACAGTATGTCTACTTTCTGTATGATATGTCTACTTCCTGTACAGTATGTCTATTTTCTGTATAATATGTTTACTTCCTATATAATATGTTTACTTTCTGTACAGTATGTCTACTTTCTGTATGATATGTCTACTTTCTGTATGATATGTCTACTTCCTGTACAGTATGTCTACTTCCTGTATAATATGTTTGCTTCCTGTACATTATGTCTACTTCCTGTATAATATGTTTACTTCCTGTACAGTATGTCTACTTTCTGTATGATATGTCTACTTCCTGTATAATATGTCTACTTCCTGTATGATATGTCTACTTCCTGTATAATATGTCTACTTCCTGTATGATATGTCTTCCTGTATGATATGTCTACTTTCTAAATAATATGTTTTTTTTCTATATGATATGTTATCTTTATGAAAAAATATTTCCTATTTGCGTAATATACTTACTTTCTTAACAATGTATAATTGCATATGTGTCTATAAACTATGCCCATTCTGAATATTGAAAAGACCTTATACATTTTTGAAACCACAATAAATGAAATTGCATTGTCTCATTTATCTAAAAAAAATTGTGATATATTAACGATCTTTGTAACATGATTAGTGCCGTGATAAAATCAGCTGATGATATGTACTACTACACCATATAAACAAATGTTACTTACCAAGCATAATGCTTCCAACTCTTTTAAGGTGGACACTAACTGATGACACGATTTAATAAAGACAAACACGACAACCGTCAGTTGTACACCTAGTCTGATTGACAGAAGGAAGTACTTGGCATGTGGCTGGTACTTAACGTCGCTGATACTGGAATTGTATAGACACGGATAATTATCGACTGCACGGTCATCTTCATCAGACAAATGATCAGCGTGAAGCGTACTGGTTCTGATGTAGAGTTCTAGCAAATATTGCAAATAGTGTGACGAAATGATCAACAGATTATAGTAAAATGCATAACAATAAACACTTGGTCAAAAATGTAAAAGAATCTGTGACTCCTCTCAGCCTGAAAAGATGTTTCCCTGTAGACTATCCCTAAATTTTACGCGCCAATTTTGCTGCGTGGAAATGACCTGTTTGTGCCGAATTACATGATATACTGATACGTGACTGAGAATGCTTTCACTCTGATCGGGTGAATTGTTTGCTGTGTTTCTGCGACTGCCTGTTGTTCATCAAATCTGACCTCGAATATCCTGCCCGTTTCTCCTTAGGATGGACTGTGAGAGAGTCATGTGATGTTTCATGGTTGTTGTAATACCATCTTGGAAGTCAAATTAAAAATGGTAAGGTGCCTAACTATGATGATATCCTGAAGTTGGTGGTCACCTTAGTCCTCGGCTTACTTATGCTGATGATATCCTGCCAGTTGCTGGTCACCTTAGTCCTCGGCTTACTTATGCTGATGATATCCTGACAGTTGCCTGGTCACCTTAGTCCTCGGCTTACTTATGCTGATGATATCCTGCCAGTTGCTGGTCACCTTAGTCCTCGGCCAGTTGCTGGTCACCTTAGTCCTCGGCTTACTTATACTGATGATATCCTGACAGTTGCTGGTCACCTTAGTCCTCGGCTTACTTATACTGATGATATCCTGCCAGTTGCTGGTCACCTTAGTCCTCGGCTTACTTATGCTGATGATATCCTGACAGTTGCTGGTCACCTTAGTCCTCGGCTTACTTATACTGATGATATCCTGACAGTTGCCTGGTCACCTTAGTCCTCGGCTTACTTATACTGATGATATCCTGCCAGTTGCTGGTCACCTTAGTCCTCGGCTTACTTATACTGATGATATCCTGACAGTTGCCTGGTCACCTTAGTCCTCGGCTTACTTATACTGATGATATCCTGTCAGTTGGTGGTCACCTTCGTCCTCGGCTTACTTATACTGATGATATCCTGAGAGTTGGTGGTCACCTTAGTCCTCGGCTTACTTATACTGATGATATCCTGACAGTTGCCTGGTCACCTTCGTCCTCGGCTTACTTATACTGATGATATCCTGACAGTTGCCTGGTCACCTTCGTCCTCGGCTTACTTATACTGATGATATCCTGACAGTTGCCTGGTCACCTTCGTCCTCGGCTTACTTATACTGATGATATCCTGAGAGTTGCCTGTTCACCTTAGTCCTCGGCTTACTTATCCTGGATGATATCCTGAGAGATGGTGGTCACCTTAGTCCTCGGCTTACTTATACTGATGATATCCTGACAGTTGCTGGTCACCTAAGTTAACGGCTTACTTATCCTGGATGATATCCTGTCAGTTGCTGGTCACCTTAGTCCTCGGCTTAATTATACTGATGATATCCTGTCAGTTGCTGGTCACCTAAGTCAACGGCTTACTTATCCTGGATGATATCCTAAGAGATGGTGGTCACCTTAGTCCTCGGCTTACTTATACTGATGATATCCTGACAGTTGCTGGTCACCTAAGTTAACGGCTTACTTATCCTGGATGATATCCTGTCAGTTGCCGGTCACCTTAGTCCTCGGCTTACTTATGCTGATGATATCCTGACAGTTGGTGGTCACCTTAGTCCTCGGCTTACTTATACTGATGATATCCTGAGAGTTGGTGGTCACCTTAGTCCTCGGCTTACTTATGCTGATGATATCCTGACAGTTGCCTGGTCACCTTAGTCCTCGGCTTACTTATACTGATGATATCCTGAGAGTTGGTGGTTTTTCGGCTTAATACTGATGATATCCTGAGAGTTGGTGGTCATTTTCATTATTTTGAAATGCCAGTTGGTGGTCACCTTAGTCCTCGGCTTACTTATACTGATGATACTTCATTCTACTCTTTAGTAGCTGTGTACATACTTGAAGGCATCATAGGTCTACAACTTTAAATCAGATCAAGTGACATGTTATTAGCTGCCAGCATGCGTTTGCATTGTCTAGGTTTCATATATATGTTTTTACTGTTTTAAAAAGTCCCTGTATAGGGTTTGAAGTGTTAAAATGTTGTTTTACAGTGAAGTAAGCGATAGACCAATGGTACAAGTTTTACCCTTATCTGTTTCCGTTCAATACTTATTGTGTACAGGTTTGCATCTTGTTTATCCCAATTCGCGAGGTCTCATCCGATCTCTTAAAGTACCAGAATAAAGCTGCGTCCAAGGTTACATAATGACTAACATAATTAACAACTTCCTACTCAGTGTTCACAACAGTGTAGAAACTGCGCGAATGCATGTGTCTAAAGGTACTCAAACGCTTCTCATACTTGACAAAAATATACAACTGATGTATGCTGCAAGCAGAATAATTCACATTAACTACCTTTGCATCAGAATAAAATTGATAGTGACAAAATGAATAACGATTATAATCTAACCGAGGAAATATATCTGTGACCTCCCTCACGTGTCTTGTTCAGTGAGGTAGCCAACAATTTAAGGAATGATTCTGTTCACATAAGATTGATACTTCAAACAAAACGAGGAATATATATACACATTTGTGTATCCCTGATATGATCAACAGTGCCTTGATCATTAAAAAGCGTGTAGTAGAGACGTATGATATAACCAGTGTTGTTTGTTAATATCTATATTACTATTTTTTTCATCACA